TTATACATAAGTTTTACAACATCAGAAGTAATCCATGGATTGTGACGATCCTTAACTCTACATTCTTTCATTGGAGCATGACTATTGCAAACTTCATCGAAAGAGGTTTTCCATTTAGTCCACATTTCAACGAACTACTTTATGTTTTACTTTCACTCCTTTTTGTGAATTGATACATGTATAAATCAAATAGTGATCACTTAGGGCTATTTTAGCAACATCACTAATTAAGTGCTTGTCCGGTAGAGAACTAAGAATGTGATCTAAGCATTTCGATGAGGTACTTGTTACTCTCGTAGGTTTTAAAATCATTCGTCGTAAAGAGAACAAGTTTTCCAGTAGGTTAATAGGATTATCGCACAAGTATTCATAGATTTTATGGTCATAGTTAAGATCCCCTAATACAACAATATCATAATTATCCATACTAGCTTTTTCAAAGATATCAATTATAATGTGTTATTTTCAAAAAACAAAATGATAAACTGTCATAAATACTAAATTTCCCCAAACATTATAAAACATTATACAATTATTTGCTGAAGAAGGACTGTCATTGTAAGCAGATTGCTTGATAATACGACAGCCCCAGAAAAAACTCATGAAATAGATTAACACATTAATTAAGCAGAAACGGATAGGTAATTGAAAATACAAATTCTGATGATATTGAAAATGAAGATGAGGATGATGATGATGAAGATGATGATGATAATGGTGATGATGATGATGATGACGATGATGATAATGATTCGAATGAAATAAGAGATGGCATTATGATAAAGACTGAAGAGTTGACACATAAATTTTACCTTGAATATTCTGATCATAACATCGTTTTAACTTTGGCCTTAAATGAGTAGAGGGAGCAACATGATTTAATAGATTCCGGGAGAGAGTTCCATAGGTCAGGACCATGGTGTCTTATGGATCTATGGGCAATAAGTAATTTCGGGTTCACTAGATGAAAATTGGAGGAATTACGGGTAGGGTAAGGGTGAATGGCTTTATTCATAGTGTAAAAGTTCTGAAATGAAAGCGGGAGCATATTATTTAAATACTTAAACATGATCAGTAAAGTTTGTAGCGAATTTATATCAAATACTGTTCGGGTTTTCAGTTTGTAAAATAATGGACTTGTGTGAGACAAATACGCTGAACCTGTACATTATACGAAGGGCTTTATTTTGCAATAAATACATAGAGTTGATTTTTGGTTTTGGCGCTGGTGGCCCATACAAAAAATTGCAATATGTAATATACGGTAATATCAATGAATTATAAAGCATAACAAGCGTATAACATGGGATTAATTTCTTCATTTTATATCATAAACCAACATTCCTAGAAATAGAAGTAGTGATATGACGTACATGTTTATTCCAATTTAGATTTTCATCGATAATGACACCCAAAATGTTGTTGTTCTCTTTCTTTCGAGAGGGACATTATCTATATTTATGTTGTAAGGTATAAAGTCAATGACATGAGAATTTGCCTGCTTAAAATACATAACATTTGTTTCATTTATATGAAGGGATAACTTATTGCAATGAAACCATAGAGATAATTTAGGTAACTCATTATTAAGTGTATTTACTAAAGTGTTTAAATTAGGATGTGAACAGCAGATGTTGGTGTCATCAACAAATAGGACAAATGATAATAAAGGTGTTGTATTGGTTTAAATCATTAATATATAATAGAAAAAGCAAAGGGCCTAAAATTGATCCTTAAGGAACTCCACATTTGGTAGGGAGGAAACTGGACAAAACATCATTATACATTACATATTGTTTTCTGTTAGATAAATAGCTCTCAAACCATGACAGTGCAACTCCACGAATTCCATAACAGTAAAGTTTTTTCAGTAAAATTTGGTGGTCCAGTGTGTCAAAGGCTTTTGATTAATTCATAAATACTCCTATAACATGTACTTTATTGGCCATAGCATTCGTTATTTTACTAAAGCTTGGTCAGATGAATGTCCTTTTCTAAAGCCATATTGATTTAGATTTAGGAAATGAAAAGTATATGATACTGTGTAAACGATGTTTTTATATTATACCAATATGTTAAGAATTTAATTTGTGATATATCATTTTCTCTCATTTGTTTTGTATTGTAAACTGGACCCCTCGGTAGAACAGCTGTGCTGTACTGGCACAGCTGAGCAGGGCGATTCACCCAATGTTATTTTCTCATGTTATCATGTATATTGTTATTTATATGTTTTTATATTGGTCAATAAAATAAAATAAAATAAAATCTAAAAGCTTATAAAGCCTATTGTAAATAATCTTTTCTAGGATTTTGGATATGCTTGGAAGAATAGAAATAGGCCTGTAATTACTATTTTCGTGAGGATTGTCTTTTTTTAAAAACAGGATTTACCTTAGCAATTTTCAAGGACTCGGGACATTTCCCGGTATTAATTGATAGATTAAAAATATGAGTTAAAGGACAAGCGATAAAGTGTATGACGTGTTTAAGATAGAAAGCACTAATTCTATCGTGACCCTGTGATTTACTTAATTTTAGTTTTTTTGTTATTTCGGTTATTTCATTAGGATCTGTGGGATTGAAAAAAACAGTGATGAATTTGAAAGTTCAGGAATAGAAGAAATGTAGTCAAATTTTCGTTCGGTGTATTAAGTTTATTTGCTAAATTAGGTCCTATGTTTACAAAATAGGAATTAAAGGTATCGGCTACATCTTCAGACTTTATAACTCTATCATGTATTGTAAAATTATCATTAGGCAATTTTTTAGTTTTCTTTCCAATCAAATCTTTAATAATCCCCCAAGTAGATTTCATATTTGATTTCGCTCTATCAAGTTTGTCGGAATAGTAAATTTTACGAGAATTTCGAATGGTGTTAGTTAATTTATTTCGGTATGTTTTATATTTGTTTTTGTTATGAATAGTTGAGTTCATTAGATAAACCTTATACAGTTTATTACTTGTGTGTATCGAATGTAGAGTTGCTTTAGTTATCCATTGCATTTTACAACGCTTATTTTTCTTGTTCGCAGACACTAGAGGAAATTTTTGTCATAATATATCTGCAATTTTGTATTAAAAATTTCGTATGCTTCATCTGCATTTTATTCATGAAAGACGTCCAACCATTCTTCCGTTGAATGATCACTTTTGAAAGATTGAATATTTTGGGATGTTTCTTTTCTGTACATGTGTGATTTAGCTGACTCTTTCATTGTAATTGCATTATTACATATAAAAAAAATTGGCAAATGATCAGATATATCAGAATATATTAATCCACTGGTAATGCTTTTATCAAAGATATTAGAAAAAATATTGTTTATAAGGGTTGAAGATTGACCGTCAATTCTGGTTGGTTTATTTATATGTGGATAACAACTATTAGAATAAGTAATATGAAGAAGTGTATCATGGTAGCTACTATGAGATAAAAGATCAATGTTTAAGTCTCCCATTAAATATAAGTGTTTACCTTCCCCTGTAAGAGCGTGAAGGCATTTATCTAGATCTTCACAAAATAAATTTGTATGCCGGCCTATGAGGGGGTCTATAGATTAATCCGACGATTATATTCTTTTTGTTTGGATTAATGATTAACAAAGAAAATGCAATAAATTATCAATAATTCATGATTGCATTTTGCCCCGACCCCTAACATTAAAAAAATCCTCTATGTTGGCATGCCTTCACCATAATGCATGGCCCTGCAGAGGAATTTTTCCTGTTGGGGACCGGGGGAAAATGCAATGAATTATTGATAATTTATTGCATTTTCTTTGTTTTTTGTATTTTTTGGGGGGCAGCGACATACCCTAGCCCCCGCTGCATATAGTCATGATTCAGTGGCTAAACAATGGTCTCGTTACTGTGAGGCCCCAGAATCAAAACCGTGTCGATGTGCTATATTAGTGCCCTTTTATGAGGCATTAATCCTCATTACTGTCAGTTATGACTTAAGGACGTAGGTCCCCTAGTTGATTAGCATAGTAGTACACACATGCTTTAACAGTCACGCAAAACAAACACTCGCAAATTATTATTCAATTAAATCTGAGAATGTATACTATTATTTAGATCTATTAGGAATAAATCATTGTCAAAATCATTCCATAAATTGGGGTAAAAATAATTATTCCACCTTTATGACCAACAGTGTAATATATTATATATTCAATTCAATACCAATATGATGCAAAAGACAAATTGTGAGATCATAATTTAGGGTTAGGGTTAAAGGTTAGGTATAGTGTAGGGTTCAGAATTGAAGTTGAGAATTCGGTAAGTGTAGAAAATAGTCGCGGAGCAGTTGTCGCAGGATTGTCCTTCAACAGGATAAGCACCGGGTTTAGTATTCAAACTGTATAGTTTAGGTCTCAAGAATTCTCTTGTAATCAAGTTTCATCACACACAAAAAGGTTCCTGTATAGTGTAATGAAGACAAAAAAGGTTGTTCAATATTATGAGAGTGAAGGATATATTTATAATTTATCTGGTATGTATAGACAATTTGTTATTAAATGGCAGTCAATTCAATTTTCATTTGTATACACAAAAATAAGAGAACCAACTTGTGACCAAGTGAGTCAAACACAATGTAACTTTTTGTTTGTTTCTTTGTTAATTTGACTTTATCCAATAAATATCCAGTAAAGTAATCTATGGAGGGCTAATTTATATATATATATATATTAAAGTTTAATCACAATGCATTACTAACATAGCCTTTTTCTACTACAGTAACCGTGTAATAGAAATATTAATGATAACGGAATTTAAAGAATAGAGTAGATTGGTCTTAAAATCATTTTACGGAAGAATATATTAATTTGATATACACTGCGTTAAATTAAGAGACCATGGGGGAAAAGAAACCAAGTGCTTTCCATAATGTGGGTATTATAAATTATATTTTAGAACCACACTGTAATATCGTATTGTGAAACAGTCATGTGACATTCCAATTTTTGTTCATATATTATTGCCAACTTTCTAGAGAATTACGCAGAGAATACAAACATGGCCGCTGCACCGAACTTTGAAGCGGTAAGTGCTTGGGCAAATTTTGCAAAGACCAATTAACTTGTTTATATTGCTTTACGCCGTTTACGGTGTATGATAATGACAGTGAATGAATGTGAGAATACCGAATATATTTTGTGTAATGTCATCCGCTACCGTTCATTTTATTCAATAACCAACTCTTAGTCACTCTGATATGTTGGTTATAATTATGTTGAATCTGTTCTATACTCTATGCCCTGTCTTAATTATGCGCTAAATAAGATTAATTATGTAACTGCGGTTTTGTTACAATGAATGCATGTACAGAATTATGTATTATTGCTGAAAGACCGTTGAGTTCTGGGCATGATGGAACATAAATTCTACATATTCAAACCGAACCTCTACTGAATGTTTAATACTACAGAATAATCATGTTTGTCAGACGTATTCGGTAGGAAAAGCAGTTGAGTAATGAGCAAAAATAATGAGAAGAAAATGGAGCTTGTATAGTCCCGACCGCGTACCGAGAATAGGGGATGCAAGGTTTAAATCAAATGTGTTCTTTTGAAAGTTTTGGTCAGAAAATTTACATTTTGCCAAACCAAAACCACCGATTATCATAATTGATTTGAGCCACTTTCTTTCGAAATATATTTCATTTAATACCGGAACTCAACATCTGCTAAAAATATAGATCATATTATATGGGGCTTCACAAACATATGGGCGAAAATATTCGGTGGAAGAAATCAACTGTTTTTTAGTTAGATGTGAAATGTTTGCAAGCTTCATTGCTACTGCGATGTATTTTACCCCAAGGGAATGTGGAACAGCTCAGAGATTATTCTTGTACCGGCACCACTATTAAACTTTCACTTCACTGTAGCTGAACTGAAGGAGATCCAATGATCATTACATGTACTCTCTTGCACAGATCGAGATGCAGCCGGGTCAGAAGGCGGAATGGATTACAAAACCCCATCCAAGCGAGGTCGTGGGATGTCCTCCCGGTCTCGAGTACCTTACCCAGCTCGATCAGGTACTCATTCACCAAATCGTCGATATATCCGAAGGTAACAACAAGACTGCAACCACAGACTCTAATTTGACACTTTACCACAATTATTCTTATAGCCTTGAGCAGAGCCCAACTCTGTCAGTCTCTGGTTGTGTCAACATAACGCAACATAGTCTCACATGGCAGACACTGTTAAACGCAACGCCTTGCAAAGTTGTTTGCCTGCAAACTACATGTAGATAACAATTCCAAATATATTTCATTTTAATTTTATATTTATTGATCCGCGGTAATACATAGAAATTCTGTTTCCATTGGCTTTGTTACAAGCTACAATAATTTTACAAATACAATGCACATAGAACATAAAAAGAATCACACTAACGTTTTACAATTTTTTATATTTGCCTACATGCATATAATTATTTACCTACATATAAGCAATGCATTTTATGAATGCATTACCATTATTCCTTAATGTTTTTAATATAGATATTGGTTTATGAATATTGAAATAGTAATAATCTTATTGTGGTAGGAGCATTGTGATCTAGTTTTAAAGGCTCTCGTCTCTCATGCGCGAGGTCCTGAGTTCAAATACGTGTTCAGTGGACAAGGTGTTTACCCGCAACTGTCCCTCTTAATCCAAGTGTTTTAAATGAGCTGGCCTACTTAGCTATGCTAGGGTAATAAACGTGAAAGGCATGCGGGAAATGCAGTATTAATACTGATGTAGACCGATGGGGCTATACTGGTGATACTACATTTTACATACACATATTTAAATATGTTATTGAAAACTAGGATGAAAATTTTGTCGCTCTCACTTCATTATGCAAATCTACAAATGATATCGACACCCGTATTTCGGCAATGGCATGACGCTTTGCGTCAGTTTACGCCGAATTCATTTTTAGCTTGGTAGATACCTTCTTTCTCTCTCTCTCTCTCCCTCTCCCTCTTCCTTTCTCCCCCTCTCTCTCTCATCTCTCTCCCCCCCTCTCCTGTCAATCTTTCTTCTCACCTCTCTCCTCTCTCTCCCTCTTCTCTCTGTCTCCCCCCTCTCTCTCCCTTTCTCTCTTTCTCCTCACTCTCTCTCTCTCTCTCTCTCTCTATCTCTCTCTTTCTCTTTCTCCTTTTCTTTTTTTCTCTCTCTCTTTCTCTATTCCTCTCTCTCTCTCTCTTTCTCTCTATCTCTTATCTGTCTCCTCTCCCACTCTATCTCTCTTCAACTTTCGCCTAGTACTTTCTCCCTTTCCTTTCCTCCCCCGTTTTCTGTCTGTCTTTTCCTCCCATTTATAAATATACTGGCTTGATCTTTATCCGTTATCCAACCTCACCTCTCCATCCCTGTTTCTCGATGTCCTTTTACTTTCAGGCAGAAAAACCATTGAGATAGCGAACAAGTATGCCATCAAGAATTCTATGGGCCAACAAATATTCTTTGCCTTCGAAGGTGAGTTTGATCATTATTCTACTCATATAGTATGCTTCCTTGTATAATTTATAACACTGAAATCATAAAGCTATCAAACACCATGTTTCAAACATGTAAGAACTCTCATAATTATAATTGTAAGCTTAATCCATGCTAAGGAGGGACTTTATCGGAAACAAAACAGAATCTATCCATTTTGTAATAGATGTGTAAACTTTATTATTTATATGATATATGTAGCACCGCGTACATTATGTTATGTTCATTTGATGTTTTTAGATTCATTTTAATCCATTTTTAATTAGATCTACTGGGTTTCTTTGATAATAGATGTTTTGTTTAAATGAAGAAAATAATTAGAAACATATGTTTTTTAATCTAAGAAAACCGGAAAAAGGAATATATACTAATTGAAAACATGAATACTGTAATCTTTGAAGGCTTTCCATGGTGGGATAGATTTGAGCGAGGTTTGCAGTTACAAAAATAATCAAAAGACTCGCAATGCTAAAATCATACCATTCACATAATTTGCACTATAGTGATCATGAACCCCGGTCATGAAACTTTCCAATCAATTTTGTTTCCTTCTACTTATGGGACGTATGCAGTTATTATTCCAATACACAAATACACAATTACAATACCCAAATTAACATGCATTTTTCATTATCATGTTCAAGCAAAGATTGAAAAATGGCCGATCTAATCGTAATATAAGCACTCAGTTCCATTCTCTTTGAAACTGCAATTTGAATGTCTTACACTGAGTGCTTGTACACTCATCTTGATTTCTCTCCGTAGAATCAAGCTTATGTCATCGTTTCTGGTGCCAGGCGTGTAGGGGATTCGATATCCATGTCGTTGATAATGAACAAAGGGTTAGTAACAATTAGTATAGAAATATCGACTGCTACCCCCGGCCCCCTCCCAGCCAGTCCTCGAGTATTAAAGCAGTCAATATCCCTTTTATATGCCGAATTCAAACAAAATCTACCAAGAATTCTTACCTTATCCTTTTATCGAGTAAAGATTCGTTAAAACATCACGGAAGATCTGAGAAGCTGTCTGTTTATAACCGACCAAAATGACTGAAATTGTCGATCAGTTGGGAATCGCAGACAAAAAACACTGTATGGTGTCCGCGCTCGCTCAAAGAACATTTTAACACGTAAACCAATGGGTATCGCGGCAAGATTTTATTATTTTCCCTGTAATCACGACTGCAATTTCGACCAATCAGATGGCTGGATTTCTTAAGTGAGGTTTATAATAGTGGATATGTCACCGGACTGTGAATCACATGGTTCGTGGTTCTAGTCCCACTGCGACACTAATGCCCTTTGGCAATACATTAATCAACATTTGCCACTCTCCACCCATGTTTTCAATGGGTACCCGGTAGGATGCGAACTGTAATGTGGCTGGATTGGCACGTGTGTGCTCGTAAAATGGCCCCTGTCCGGAATACTACCCAGGGAGCGGAGAGTTTACACTATCATGTGCGCATTAGCAGCTGAATCCGATGACCGGGGGTAATACTAATTACAATGTAAAGCACTTAAAAAACCTAGTATTACGCGCTATACAATTAATGTGACTATATATTTATAGATTTGGTACTAAGGGAGAATAATTGGACTATACTCGACCTAATCTGACCTGACCTCAAGTGACTTGAATCGAATCGGCCTGATCTTAATTAACATGGTCTGAACTGATTTAGCCTAACATAATACGCTGAATGTTGTTTTACCCAAGCCTAATCTTGAATGTTTTAAGAATTGTCTTAGATACGCTGGTGGTAAAATCTGGAATAGTTTACCTTCTGCTTTTCAAAATGCTAAATCTATCGATGTTTTTAAACGTATGTACAAGGACAATTTGTTAAACTTGTGTGATACAATGCCGATTCATTTACTGCTCTTGACATGGGTTTATTTCTCTCTCTCTCTCTCTCTCTCCTCTCTTTCTTTCTTTCTTTCTCTCTTTGCTCCTTCACTTTCTACCAATTTTCTTGTATCTTTTCTCCGTTTCTAATTTTTTGGGTGATATTTTAATGCCTTTTATTCAAGTGATTGTATGTTTTTTCCGCTGTTAGTTTCAATTATTACATTGTCGGTTTTGCTTTTTGTTTTGTGCTTTTTACTACTTTTAATGCGTATTATTCTTATATGTTAGTTTTATACTGTTCTGACCTTTGCTTGTGAGCTTTTGTGATATTCATAATTTATATTTCCGTGTACTACATTTTTATCCTGTTCAGGACCATGATGTAAAAAAGATTTTGTATCTATAATGTATATCTGATTCTTGTTATCCTGAATAAATATATTTTAATAAATAAAAAATAAAATTCGATCAACACAATCGCCAAAACTTTCAAGAAGTTAACAAAAATCAACCAATTCAGTATAGCTTTGTGCGTCACACATGTAAACATAATCTCTATAGGTAGTACAACAGGGCATTGATATTACAACTTGAGCTGAATTCTTGAAAGTCTGTGCGATCGTGTTGATCTGACTCGACCTAGCTGACCCAGGGTGACCTATCATGACCAAACTCAAACTCATTTGCGATCCAACATACCAACCCATCCATCCATCTACCCTCTCTCTTTTATACTCATCACTTGTTATAGGAGGTGATAAAGATTGTTCGACCCTTCCAGTGCTGTGCTGGATGCAGCTGGTGTGCGAACACTGACTGTTGTTCTTTCATCATTCAAGTAGAAGCACCGCCCGGTAACATCATCGGCTATGGGAAGCAGACGTGAGTTTCCTCAGTGCCTACACAAGAATACGGTCGTAAAGACTTTCGATAAATAAAATCAACCTATGGCAAATTCAATAGTTTTCTGCATTACCTTTTGAAATGTGCAAACATTACAAGTATATATAGCTTGATCCGAACATGACTTGAATCGGCAATACAAAATGGTATTGGAATAGCTCTTAAGTTGGTTATCCGAAGTTGTTAGGGTCGCTTTAAATGTTATTTTATTAACGTATGTATTCTTCCTTCCTTCTTTTCTTCCATTAATCATTTTCATTGGATTTGTCTTCTTTTCTTTCTTCTTTGCCTGTCATCCACACGATATCTCCCTGCCGCCCTCACCCGTCTCTCATACAGCGTTTTCTTCAGTTTCGTTCCGCACGCCTTTTCATTTCCCCAAACCAATTTCTATTTTCTTTCCCTACTTTAACTTCACGTCACTCTATTTTACCTTATATGGACCTTTCCTATTCAAACCCCTTCTAATTATCTTGTCTTCCGATAAAAAATATATATTAATCTTATTGTAAATATAATAAGCCGAGTAAGATTCATGCTCTATCTGTGAGACTAATTTGTACATGATAATTTTTTTTTTTTTTTTTTTTTTTTAAACTTCTAGAAAGAGTTGGTGGTACCCTCATCTGGACGTCCTCGATGCCGATAAGAAACCGATACTGAAGATCAGAGGACCGTGTTGTTCGTGTCAGTCAGTATGCTGCAGTAGTGATCTCGACTTCAAAGTAAATGACCTATAGCTACAGGGGGCACCACCAGCCCCCCCCCCCCCCCCCCCCCCCCCCCCCCCCCCCCCCCCCCCCCCATCGAATGACAAAAAAGGAACCAATGAGAGAAAAGGGAGAAAGAGAGAAGGGAGGGTGGGGGAAATAACAAATAAGATGATGTTTAAAGAAGGTAGAGAAAGGGAGGGAGTTAGAGGGAGGGAGAGACAGACAAACAGAGAGAGATAGAGAGAGAGAGCGAGAAAGAAAGAGAGAGAGAGTGTTGAGGAGAAGGGGAGTAGGAGAGGGAAAGAGATTAAAGAAGAGGACAAGGGGAAAGGAGGAGGAGAAGGGGTCAGTTTGAACAGGAGGAAGAGGTACGGAACGAGAAGGAGGAGGTGAGAAGAAGGAGGAGAAGGAGGAGGGGAGAAGAAGGAGGCGAAGGAGGAGGGGAAAAGAATGAGGAGGAGAAGGGGTGAGTTTGAACAGGAGGAAGAGGTATACGGAACGAGAAGGAGGAGGTGTGAAGAAGGAGGAGAAGGAGGAGGGGAGAAGAAGGAGGAGAAGGAGGAGGGGAGAAGAAGGAGGAGAAGGAGGAGGGGAAAGAAGGAGGAGAAGAAGGAGGAGAAGGAGGAGGGGAGAGGAAGGAGAAGGAGGAGGGGAGAAGAAGGAGGAGAAGGAGGAGGGTGTGGTCGGGGGTAGTAGTGGTGGTGGAGAGAGGGGGGGGGGCGCAAGGGAGGGGAGGGAGGAAGTGGAAGAGGAAAGATGGGGAGAAGTAAAAAGAGGAGAGTGGCTGTGACTGCAATTTTATCACATCCAAATGTATAATTTGAGTAAATGAAATCTTTTTTTCTCTATTACCATGGTTACCTACTAGGTGATGTCGAATGACTTGACAGATGAATTAGGTGTGATTCAGAAACAATGGTCTGGTTGTGTAAAGGAATACTTCATCAACGCTGATCTCTTTGGTATGACTTGTAAGTACCTGTATATTATCTTTTACCCTCAACTTAAATGCACCTTCCACTAAAATAAACTTGGTCGGTTGGTTTGTTTTACCTGACTGCTAAGAAAGCATGTGCTTGTAAGTGGGCAACCAGGGGACGAAGGCTTTAAGTCCTCTCCGAGGTACTTGGTAATCAGGATTGATGCCTTACCAAAGGGCACTGGTGCATCGACTTGGTTTCGAACCCGGGACCTCCTAGTTACGAGACCACTGCTCTACCACTGCTGAGCCATCGCGCCTCACTTAAAACAAATTAACTTACGTACTTTTTTTTAGAGGAAGGACACAAACAGATCTTAAATATCTTAACCATGTCAGAGCAATTTCGTGACTGTGGTATATATTCGTTAACGCTTTTGAGAGGTCCTGAGTTCAATCCTTGCCCGGTGCTGGGAGAAGGTGTATTGCCAATTATGTCCCTTTCATCCAGATGCATCAGATGAGCGCCTTGCAATGGCAATGGTACGGTAATAATAATACACCCTTTCACGGTTAAAGCCGCCATTTTAATTTGCGAGTAAACATTGCGTCATCAATGTTTTCAGATGCGCATGTATTGTTGCGTCACACTGCCTGCGCTCCGCCATCACATCATTTTGACATGGGCGCCATTTTTGTTAACGAGTAAACTAGTTGTTTACTCGTAATTTAAAATGGCGCCCATGTCGGGGCATGCGCACTCTTGTAACCGTGAAAGGATGTATTGCAGTGCGCGCAGGAAGAGCGGTATCATCCTGCTACAGTTGGTAAATAAGACCATCAATATGGACAACAATAGCGACAAAATCTAGCACTTTATCCTTCAGACTACATGATTTGAAGAATTAGACGGAAATTTGGACTCTGCTCTCTCGGAAGATATGAGCTGTATTATTTTAGGTCATTTCAATTGTGATTGTATGCCACACCAACTTGATCTGAATGCTGAAAAGTTAATGTTTTATACAAATATGTACGGGCTAAGTCAGCTAATTGATACTGCCACAAGAGTTACAAATACCTCTTCTACTTTAATTGATTTGATATTTGTATCAGACAAGGAACTTTACAATGAATAGGGAATATTTGAAACTAGCATAAGTGATCATTATTTGGTGTATACGGTTCGCGATTTTAGTGCAAAGATCCATAACAAATCTGAATACGCAGAATTTGGCTCGTTTAAAAATCTTATATTTTTTCTAAATTTTACAGTGAATTGAGAAGTATTCCTTGGCAGGTCATAAAATATATAGATAATGTTGACGTTGCGTGGGATATGTGGTTGACTCTATTCAATAATATAATCAACAAGCACATACCAGTATGTAAAAAGCGGATAAGAAAAAAGGCATGTCCATGGATATCTGACGAGATTGTTAAGCTTATGACAGAACGTGATAAAGTTCTCAAAGCTGCTAAAGCTAACAAAAGTGATGATCTTTGGGACACCTACAAATATCTAAAGAATGGGCCTACAGTTATTCATCTCATGAGGAAAAGAAAAAGAGAATATAATGCAGACCAGATCTCGCCAAATCATAACAATAGTAAGCAAATGTGGAGATGCTTGAGAAACCTTGTGCCTAAGTCATTACCTATTTCTCCCAATAGCATAAATGTTGATGGTGCTAATGTGTCAGACAATGCAAATATTGCTGAAGCTTTTAATGACTTTTTCATTTCTAATGCTACTAAGATTACAAAGGACTTGCGAAGGAATACGTCTCAACTGAGAGTAGACGAGGACAATAATATTGGTCCAACTCATTCGCAATTTAATTTGAATATGATTACTGAGGATTTTGTATTGAAACAGATTGATAATCTGAGCATAGATAAAGCAACCGGTGAAGATCACATCAGCTGTAAACTTTTAAAGATGACGAAGAATGTTACCGCAGAGTCTTTTTGTGATATCATTAACAAATCCCTGTCTACAGGAGTTGTTCCACGTGAATGGAAAAAGGATGGGGTAGTACCAATATTCAAATCTGGAGATATTTCTTCTTTGAATAATTACCGCCCTATTTCAATATTACCTATCGTGAGTAAAATTATAGAAAGGGCGGTCCACCAACAACTCAGTGAATTCTTGGACGAGAATCAATTACTACACCCTAATCAGTCTGGTTTTAGACCTAAACATTCAACAGCTACTGCCCTTGCAAAACTTGTAAATCAATGGTCGTTGAATATTGATAACAAAGAAATTTCTGGAGTTGCCTTCATATATCTTCGTAAGGCTTTTGATACTGTCGACCATGAGCTACTTCTACATAAACTAGCTTGTATAGGTTGTAGTAATAGGACTATTTATTGGTTCAAATCATATTTAGGGGATCGACAACAAGTGACCCAATTCAAAGGAGCCATTCCGCATCCATCAACCATCAAATTAGGTGTGCCACAAGGTTCAATTCTTGGTCCCCTTTTATTTTCAATATATGTTAATAGTCTACCTGAATGTACTCCTGAAGGTATCATAGATATGTATGCTGACGATACGACACTTACCGTCAGTGCAAATGATGCAACTGTTGTGGAAGAAAAATTAACTGTTGCATAAAACAGAGTCATGGCATGGATTAAGGAAAATCGTCTTGTTCTTAACACTGAAAAAACTTGTGTCATGTTAATAGGCTCTCATGCTAATCTCAAGAAAATTGAATCTTTCACCATTTCATTAAATGGCAATTTGATCAAAAGAGTTAAATTCACCAAATGCTTTGGACTTTTGATAGATGAAGAATTGAATTGGTCTAAACAAATCGAAAACGTAAGTAAACTTACCCCAAAAAACATTAGCATGATAAAGAGAGCAAAGAGTTTTTTGCCTCAAAAATCCTTAAAGTTACGTTATAACAGTCTAGTGTTGCCACGATTAGATTACTGCTCTGTTGTATGGTCGAACAGATTTCATTCTCATACAACTAAGCTGCAAAAAATTCAAAAGAGGGCCGCAAGAATAATATTGAACAAGACATATGACACACCGTCGGCTAATTTGTTTACAAGTAAATGGATGACACTACACACAGAGAAAAGTAGGTGTAAATTGACTCCATATAGGGAGTAACTGTTTGTCGCATAAGTGACACCACTCAGGGAGTAAATTTACTCCCCAATGTAGGGAGTAAAGTACTTTTTTTCATTAAAAGGTGTAAATTTGCACCCCAAGGTTATGATTGTACTCCCTTAAAGGAGTGAAATTTGCACCCAATGGTGCTCATTTAACACATTTTGGTTCCATTTTCCTGAAAAATGGGTTCAAATTTACACCAGTGGGATTAAATTTTATACCCTTTATGATCGATTCCACACCATGTGGGGAGTAAATCTACACCCTTTTTATACACAGCATCGACCAATTGATCATCCCTCGAGCAATCAATTATCCATGCTTCGTAATCACCTAACAGTCACTGATTCTCACCCTTTTGTCTACGTTTCACTGCTCTAAAGAAATCAGACCAGAATGTCGAGTTACATGTTGAAAGGCTTTAATGCTCACCTAAACAACAATTAGTGTGAACTCAACACAAGTGCAGACTGTAAGAACTAACTTATGGCTGGAGTTATCGGTTCAAATGTAATGGAATTACCTAAACACACAATCTTGCCCTATCGAATTTCTTCCCTTTACTTACACGTATAAGAAGACAATTATGTACTAGTTAGTAAAACAACACTTCTGCTAATTTCATTAAATTATCAAATATAACCCTCGGTACTACCCCTTATTCTTGATCGGATAACTTTCACACAAATAATATGCCCAAATGAAACATGATAATTCCCCTAACATGACTAAAATATGTGAATTATGCTTTTTAAAAATCATATGGCAGTACCTATATTGACACGATGCGCCAATACTGTAGCGCATGCGCATATGCACTGACCAATCAGAGCTCGTCTGACTCAAATAGGGTGTAAAATTACATCCCTCAAATGTACACCCTTGCGTATTTCCGTGTTTTACTCCCTAAAAGGTGTAAAAGCGGCGCCCTATTTTTCCAATTTCGTTTTACTCCCCAAGAACACCTTTTATTTCTCTGTGTGTAGACAAGCGGTTTGAGTTAAGTCGCGTTATGATGATATATAAATGCGTTCATAACTTGGCACCTTCTTACCTTCAGGTAGGCTTAATCAATCCTATTGATGTGCATGAGCATCATACAAGGCAAATAGACAGTGGATGTTTACGTGTGCCTAGATTTCACACTGATTTTTATAAGTGTAGCCCAATTGTTTCTTCCATATTTGAATGGAATAAGCTAGATAATTCGTTGAGAACGGCTTCCTCTTTCAATTCATTTAAGAGATTGTTTAAACAGAGTTGTAATTTGTGAATGGCTCAGCCGAACATAAACTACGTGCATGTTCTGTAATATTAATATGACTTATTCACATAATTGCAACTTAATCAATATTTTCCTATTGACATTACTGTTTACTAGGTTGATGATATATGTTTATTTTGCAAATGAGTATTATTTTGTTTAACTGTTTTGTATAAACGTTATAAACGATGTAAATATGTTTATGTTTATTCAGGGCCCCATGGAAGACCACTACTTGTTGGTGAATGGGCTACCCTGTCAAAAGATTAGAAAAAAATATAAAAAAATAAAAGTCTCATCCTCTCTTTCTGAATTATGCTGTTATTGCAGTTCCTAAAGACCTTGATGTAAAGGCAAAGGCCACTCTCATTGGTGTTTTGTTCCTGATTGTAAGTATTACATCCTCTAACAAATTTAATGATTCTTGCAATTCATTTTTTATATGGGTGGTTTGTTTCTTTATTTGTTTTAGTTTTTGTTGTTTTAGTCTTCCCTATTTTCTAGTAATTTGCAATACTTTCTTTGCATACTAATGATATGTCCAGTTATCTGACTTTAGTTCAAATACGAACATCAATGCGATTTTATTTTTAACACTGAATATTATAGTTTTGGAGTACGTCTGTTCTAGCTTTGTTCGCGGCGGTCGCTTTCCTACGTGCGATTTCATCAGGATCATGGTGATTATACTAGTCAACAAATCTTTTTAAAGACAGTAAATGCATGATGTGATGCAAAAAGAAATAAAACATCATTTCAAGCAAAAACATAATTTTACTCTTATTGATTCATTTGACTTATTAAAAAGATACAATTCTTATCCGTATTACTCTTTCAGGAATTCATGCATTTCGAGCTAGAAAACAGCAAGTAAATCACTTGGGTAATTAAGAGAAAGTCTGCTTCCAGCATATCACTCTACACTTATGAAATACTGCAGAAAATGACAAATGGAAGTGATTGGCGTAGATGCAGCCTTTTCGAGTGGTGCAAGAAAGGGGGGGGGGAAATTGTTTTTAAAGAAAGGAGAGAAGGGAGACAGGGCGAAAAGAGAAGAATATTTATAATGCGCCAAAGCCACGTGAATAATGTGCTCCAGGCGCAAAAAAAAGAAAGTAGGAACATAAAAATACTCTGAAGTGAGATAAGTTAGAAAATACAAGTAGATATACTGAAAAGCAATTTTGAAAAGACTGGGGTTTTGAGGATATTTTAAAAACAAAGAGCACTTGAAATATTACGAATGTGTTATGAGCAAAAATCCGACCCTCCCCCCCCCCCCCCCCCCCCTCCTCTCCACGATTTTTTTTATTTTTTTTTAGGAACAACAGGCAATTAGAATTAGCGTCTGGGAGGGTTATAAGGTGTCAAGTTGTCAACCAATTACTAGTAACAGTGTACTCCGGAACAGATCCATGTTTAAAGTCAAAAATAAGCAATAATAATTAAGGGGTTAGAATCGACTAGCACATGTGCTATTAGCTGGCCCCTTTTACCAACCAATATTTTCTCTTCTTGTATATGTATATGTAAATTATTGTATGAAATGTATTGCTGTTGGTAAATAAATCAAAATCAATCAATCAATCAATCAATCCATCAACTAAGGATATTAATCCTTTCATGCAGATGTAAACATTATTTCCAAACGTGGAAAGGTTAAATACATTTTAGCTATTAAACTATATCTTTGGAAAATGTGTATACATATCAATATATATATTCTGATAAGTTAGAACTTATGAACAAGAAAATTATGAAACAAATAGAAGATGAAATTGTTTTGCATGAGGCGGGAAAGGAAAATGGAAGAGAACACAGAGTTAGGAGCAGAGAGAATGGGGAAAATTCGAGAGAGAGAGAGAGAGAAAGAGAACGAAATAGAGTAGGAGAGAGAGAGATGAAAAATATGAGAAAGAGGGCAGTGCTGTACCAGCAAAGGGTAAAGCCACTTCATCCGTTTGATCGCCACAAAAAAAAAAGTAAATCAGCAGTGGGTGTATGATATGAGGATCTAACCAGATATAAACTCCGCCGTTTGATCGCCACAAAAGAAATAAGTAAATCAGCAGTGGGTGTATGATATGAGGATCTAACCAGATATAAACTCCGCCGTTTGATCGCCACAAAAGAAATAAGTAAATCGGCAGTGGGTGTATGATATGAGGATCTAACCAGATATAAACTCCGCCATCCTGTTTATCATTTTCTGGATATGGCACCGAGAGAGTAAAAGCAAAGAGAAAAGGTGGAGAGAAAGAGAGTCAGAGACATATACAGAGGTAGTATAGAACATGGAGAACGAATTCATGATGTATATACAATCATGAAACCTAACCTGTTTTTCGAAACCTTTGTATCTCCAAGATTTTAACTTAAGAGATAAGTAGCTCTCCCCCATTAATATTGCATCACCTTGAATATACGGACTATATTGATCATATTTTATTTTATTTCATTAATTTTTCCACTCAAATATCAAAAATTAAAATGACATATATATATATATAACATATACCGTATTAAAATGTATAATAAAAAAACAAATGAATTATGCAAGTAACAAACAATGATAAGTATCTACGAGAGAAAAAAAAAAGTTTACAGAGTATGAGTCAAAATATATTATATTCAATATAATATATTTTGTCTTATACTCTGTAAATCAAGCAATTTGCTTGATTTATCTGAGCGGGGGAAAGAGGGAATCTCAGAAAAGCTAGGCTTGTTGAGCGAGATTCCCAGTATAAATTCTCAGGATATATTGATCAATTGACAGCCTAGAGCTAAAGGCTCACAAATACACACGCACACACACGTGCACGCACCATTTACTTTACGAAGAATTAAAATGTGCTTCAAATGAAAAGAAAAGTTTAAGTTATTAGGGTGCAAAACTGTGGAATGAATAAAACTTACTATGCTTTTAAAAGGAGTTTAATATAGTCATTAAGAAATATTCCTAACTTAATATATACACTGTTGGTCATAAAGGTGGAATAATTTTTTTAACCCCAATTTATGGAATGATTTTGACAATGATTTATTCCTAATAGATTTAGATAATAGTAAACATTGTCAAATTGTATCGAATAATAATTTGCGAGTATTTGTTTTGCGTGACTGCCAAAGCATGTATATTGCTAGGCTATTGCATTCCCCAATCAAATATAATTTGTAGTGTAACTTTATGTAACTTTGATTGTTTCTTTTTATAAACATGTATGTATTTATCAATGTTTTGCTTTTAAAAGTGATTTTTTTTTTGTATTACTGTATCAGTTATTATTATATAGGGTTAACACCCTACAAGCTCTGCTTTTTAGTTGGCCCTCCTTCCCTTTCAATTTCATGTTTATTTTTTTAATGTATTGTATTGAGCAAATTGATCTATATGTCTATACATAATTATGTGAATATGTTAAAATGTACCATTATTGTAAATATGAACGATTGAAAGAGGAAAAAATGAATTGAATTGAATTGAATTGAATATGCTACTATGCTTATCAACTAGGGGACCTACTGGATTAATGCCCCACAAAAGGGCACTAATATAGCACATCGACACGGTTAGGATCCTAGTGCATTACAGTTACGAGGCCATTGCTTGCTACTGAATCATGACTGTACGCAGCGGGGGCTAGGGTAGGGGGCAGCCCCCACAAATACAAAAAAAAATCCTCTGTACTGTAGTCGCTGTAGGAGTGATCATTTCAAAACATACAAAGAGGGACCTCTCCATGTTTTTTAAGATCTGTAGATATTCGGGGTCATTAGGGACATATGCCAACCGTGAATTGGTCTATTTCACTGTTTTCGTTATTCATTGAATGATATATACATGCTTTTTCGCTGTTAACGAACCCATTCAATATTTTATCTAGCTATTCTATAAATGTCTGGTATATGCTTATCTTCTGTTCAAGTGCTCAATAATTTTATGTTGAACCACCTTTTCCAAACGATATTTTCATTTTGTTTATCTCTCCGTTAAAAGCATGAACTGTTGATTGATCGGACACATGCCCCTGAGTTTAATGTGCTGCCCCGGAAAAACGCTAGCAAATCAACAAACATAGAGACAATAACATGTTGTATAAATAGGGCTTAATAAGTGTCGAAAACGGTGCAACGAATCATCTTCTTTCTATAATAATTAAATCAATCGTCTAAGCTTTTCGCACTTCGCGTGGGAAGGGGGAAACTGAATTCAGACAAGGATTAAGAGTCGAGAACAGTACAACCAATCGTCTGCTTTCTCTAATAATTTAAGAAAACGTCAAGGCTTCCGCGCTTCACGCGAGAGGGGAAAACTGAATTCAGATAAATAGGGCTTATTAAGAGTCGAAAACGGTGCAACGAATCGTCTTCTTTCTATAATAATTAAATCAAACGTCTAAGCTTTTCGCGCTTCGCGCGGGAAGGGGGAAACTGAATTCAGACAAGGATTAAGAGTCGAGAACAGTACACCCAATCGTCTGCTTTCTCTAATAATTTAAGAAAACGTCAAGGCTTCCGCGCTTCACGCGAGAGGGGAAAACTGAATTCAGATAAATAGGGCATATTAAGAGTCGAAAACGGTGCAACGAATCGTCTTCTTTCTATAATAATTAAATCAAACGTCTAAGCTTTTCGCGCTTCGCGCGGGAAGGGGAAACTGAATTCATACGAAAATTAAGAGTCGAGAACAGTACACCCAATCGCCTGCTTTCTCTAATAATTTAAGGAAACGTCAAGGCTTCCGCGCTTCGCGCGAGAGGGGGAAACTGTGTGCGTGTGTGTGTTGTGTTTGTGCGTGCGCGATCGCGCGCGCTTGCGTAAGTTAGTGTGGGCGTGTGCTCGTGCTAGTATGTGATGGCTATCGCTGATCATCCCCTCCCCCCCCCCCCCCCCCCCACTCTTCGGTACGGATTTACGCCCCTGGTAATAATGCAAGTTGCATTATTATTATCACCATCACCAAAGAATGCTTAAGGCCCGGTCACACAGAGGGGACGCATGGGGGACGCACGGCCAGCGCATTGGAAATTTGCAATTTTGGCCAGTGCGCTGTCGTGCGCCCAACTTCTGTCGTAGCTACAGCGAGCTGACACCAAATGCATAGCGTGTTGCTAGCGCGCTGGGCGCATACAGGGCGCATACAGTACGCATACAGACCGTACCCAGAGCGCAAATGATAACAACTTCCACGAATGCACAGCGTGTTGCTAGTGCGCTGGACGAATGGTCAACGCATGCACCGCGTTCTACGACGCACGGCCAGCGCATTGGAAATCGGAAAAAGTCCGTGTGCCTAACTTTTGTCATGATTTTGGAAAAGCTAGCGAGCTGACACAAAATGCACAGCGTGTAGCTATAGCGCGCTGTGCGTATACAGGGCGTGTGCTCCGCGTATGTCTGGCGCTGGTCTAGCGCGCTCAACGCACGTCTGGCGTGCCTTTGGCGTGTACATTCATGCGTCGAGCTCCGCGCACACATTTGAGCATGCTCAAAAAAATACCGACGCACACAGCGAATGACGACGAATGCATAGCGTGCGTCCAGCGCGCTCGACGAACGAGTAACGAGTGATGACGCACGCCTAGCGAACGACAACGCACTGGTAAAATTGCAAATTTTCTATGCGCCGGCCGTGCGTACCCCATGTGTCCCCTCTGTGTGACCGGGCCTTTACAAGTCCATGACTGTTGTAACACTATCCGATTGTAATAAACTCTCATCTTTCATCTCAACCCTTTTGAACCCTTCTCCCACCACTCTCTCTCTCACTCTCTCTCTCTCTCTCACTCTTTTTCACACACACACACACACACACACGAACACACACGCAAACGCACACACACACACACCACACCACACACACACCCCTTCATCATTCAATTAGTCCAATAGTCAATTGTAAAAAAGATTTAATGAATATATGGATTTAATCACGGACGAAAGGGAGAAATATAGGCATATTGGTTGAGAATATACAGCCCCTCTGTAAGG